TTAAGGACATTTTCAGTAGGATGGTTTCTGACATCTTGAAAGGGATGTCTTCAGGACTTCATAAAGATGTCTTTTAGACATCTTCAGTCGAAGAACACCATACAAAACAACTCTTTAAAAATAAAGGGTTGTCCTGCACGCCAGGAAATGAGTCTGTTTCAGAAAGAACCCAAACAACATGTTTAAGTTAATTTTACGTAAAATGAATGTAACTTTTTTGTCCATTTTATATCATTTTTACGCAAACCATTGTCAAGAAAATGTCAACATGTTTGCAGAAATGTCACCTCTGTGATACATAAACGATGATATAAAATTAATGTCAATTTTACGAAAAATTGACATTCCCGTTTGCATTCCAAACAGCATGTTTACATTCATTTTACGTAAGATTTATGTTAATTTTCCCCTGGCATTCATGCGTATTTAATGAGTCAACCAGTACCACTGAAGAGAATTGACATACTGAATCTCCTACTCCTTTACGTTCTTCAGAACTCTAGGGTGGTTGGACGAGTGCACGAGTACTCATCCTCACCAGCACTCAAGAGTACCAAAGTGACCTACTGCTTCCTCCTCCCGCACCGGAACCTCGGGAGGAGAAGTAGATGTTCAAATGCCCAAACAGCATGTTCATGTTAATTTTACGTAAACTGCCCAAGCAGCATGTTTACGTAAACAATATATCAATTCCTTGCAAACAATGTAAATTTCTTGCGATTGCCATGAAAATGACATCACTTTTACGTAAAATTTACGTTCCTAGATTTACGTCACCAAAGTGTACGTGTATTTTACATCAACTAGACGTCACTCCATTTGACGTGAAGTACATGATATCAAGTTTATTCAAAATTAACGCCACACCATCCATATGAAACTTTAGCTGACCATCCCGCAGTTGCAGTACCAAGATTCCTCACAAGATGGAACCCTTGGTCCCTGCATCCGACAAATACTATTAAGTACTGGCTTTCCTGATAGAATATTCGATTTTCTTACCATCCTTCCACTTTTTATTATGCAATCCATGAATATATATATGGAAATNGACGTCTAGTTGATGTAAAATACACGTACACTTTGGTGACGTAAATATAGGAACGTAAATTTTACGTAAACGCGATGTCATTTTCATGGCAATCGCAAGAAATTTACATTGTTTGCAAAAAATTGATATCATGTTTACGTGAACATGCTGCTTGGGAAAGGCACCCATATATTTTGATATTGTTGAGAAGCCCCTAGTAGTTATCTCTGGGACTTCTCACTCATCCCAAGGGATCTCTGGGATATCTTTGGGGTGTACTTGTGATACGTTGCAAGTGAATGGTTTTTGTGTTTTCACAAAAGTGACAGATGAAGTTCCAATTCTCAGCGTAGTTCCTGAATTTTTTTAAACATTTGGGAGAGACTTGTGAGAGTAACAGGATTTCATGTATGTCTCATACCTGATTTGGTCATGTCTCTTATCAGGTGTGAAACAGATGCCCCACTATGTACCAGATAGACATACTAAATCATACAGGTATCTTATCTGCTCCTCAATATATTTTACATACAAGCTTTTTATGAAATTCTTATATGGCCTGGACATATATGATCATATACTCATTGTTTCAATGAGAAGAAATGATCAGATATATATTGCCATACATATTCATGTAACATCATACAGAGGTGGAAAAAGCTCAGTAACCTGGTAACCAGGTTACCATGAAGGGTAGCGACCAATGGGGAAGGCAAGACAGGGAGAACAAATAAATAATAACAGAAATGGGAGGCAGAAGAAGGAAATAATGCAAGAAGAAAGAGCGGGAAGACGAGAGACGGTCGAAGTGTGCGGGATGCGGTGTGATAATGCATTGCAAGAAGGTAAATGACGACTGACTCCGAAAAGATCAAGCCCCCCAAGAGGCATCGGGAAGATGATATCGGCGGGACGGGAAGATCAAGCACATGAGCGGAATCGGGAAGATATCCCCATGTGACTGATATTGGTAAGTTCAGGGACGAGGTTATCAATTTTTTCCTCCCGTGCCGAGCGCGTAGGCGGAAAGATCTCGGTATTGCGTATTTCCTCAATCCTGGGGTTGTAGGATCTCGCCCTAATGAGGGCAGAAGGTGAGAAGTGGGGAGATTTATAAAATTCACCTGACTGTAAAATAGAGGCGGCCTTGTCATCGGCATGAAAAAGGGATTATAATTTTGAATGCGTATCTCACGAGGTGAGAGAAACTGATAATCAAATTAGATAGCATCTTGCACCTCGGAAACCCCTTCCTTTCCTCTTTAACCAATCGGTCGATAGTCAGCCTCGCGTCGCCTGGCTTTATGCTGACAGATTAATATTAATATTAATACCCTTCGCGCCTTTTTTCAAGTGACCTTAGTTGGCCTCAGGGTTGAAAGAATACACTGATCTCCATCCCCCATCGAAGAACCCTCTAATTTCATTCCGCTCTCTCGACTCCGCACCTCACGCACGTGCCCCTATGCCAGACTTCCTGGTAAGTAAGCAATTCGTATGTCCTGTCAACTCATACGCATCCTGTCACCGAGAGAATATCTGCTGGTGTCTAGTGACGAAGTGCCCTAATTGAACCCTTAAACCCTTTAGCAAGCCAAAGAGCTCATAGTTCAAGCTCTTCATCTCCATGTTGGATGAAGAAGTTGCTTCCATTTCTTGCAAAGAATGCAGCAAGCATAAAGGTTGAAGTTACATGGTGTTGCAGAGGTCGTTGACCGACTGAATAGACAGAACGGGAGGCTTGAAATATGAATTCAATAAAATCAATATTCTAGTTCCGAAATGAAAATACTGATCGAAATGCTCCTTTGCAGAAAAACCTTCTTGCGTATGGCGGGGTGAGTGATCAGAAAAATTTATAAGTTTATGTCAAGGTTGGAGATCCAGTTGGAGGCTGTTGGGGTAAGCTCGTATCGTCTATGGTTCCTACAAATGAACAGCGTGGGCACTGATGAATAATATGCTGGGTGGATGGTTTGGCCTTCGAGACCACAGTCACATCTGGGGGTGGTCTTGATTTTCGATTGATGCAAGAGGTGGGCGCATCGGCCGTGCGAGGTGCGGATGCGGTTGAGCATGGTCTACTGCTTCCTTGGCAAGGCGAAGCCAGCAACTTCTGTGATGGGATAAGAAACAACCCTTTTGTTGGGGACGATGGCTTTGACCCACATGGCTTACCACTGTTCCTCCAGGTCAAAGGAGGACGCGTCGAGAGCAATAGCTCTAACCCAGGGCGGGTTCCGGGATTTTAGCCGGATACTCGGAGCACTTTCTAGGTCCTCATTAATTGGAAGATCAGGGTTTGCTTTTATTCGGCTAAAGACGCGTGATGTCTGCGCGTCTCTGCGGATGTTGGGAGGTGGAATATGGGAGGGTTGGTAGCCGTTCGACAGGGGTGGATTTTAGAGTCCCGGTCATCAGACGCATTGATGCGTCGAGTTGGGCGTCCAAGTCCTTGGTGTATGTACTGCTCAATCAAACTGGAGCACAGTATTCTGCAGGCGAGTAAACCAGTGCTAGTAACGCTGCTCGTAGTGTGCGCGCCCCGGCACTCCACGAGGTTCCAGTCAGTATGCGCACGATGTTGAACCTAGCCTTCACTTTGTCGCGCGTCCTTTCAAGGTGGTTTTTGATGGAGAGGCTGCGATTCAGGGTAACGCCCAGATATTTTGGCTTGGCCTCATTATTTACTTGATGGCCGCAGAAGGAGACAGGAAGTCTCCTTAGCGGCGCCGGTTGTCGAGGTGGAATGCGGTAACTGATATTTTAGTCGGGTTTGGGCGGAGTCCCCATCTTCGGAAGTACTTCGCTATAGTGTAGGTAAAAAAAAAAATTTTAAGACCCTTTCAAATGGCATTTCTTCGATTTTATTAAATGCCAAGAGCTTCTGAATGAATATGCCCCTCTGTGTACTCCCTATTAGATCCTGTTAGGAGCCTACACATAGGCGTTTTCATTGAATCACAAGTGGTGGCTTAAAATTGATCTTTAGCCAAGCACCCCTCCCCCTCCACCATTCGCCTCTGCTCAGCCCCCCCAAACACAGGGTCACTTCACATACCTGCTAAACTAGAAAAGTAAGTCATGGTTACCGGGAAGCAGAAGAACGTTTTCCACCTGTGATATCATATATGATAGACCACATATGTCCCATATATCATATATGCCCATTTCTTATAAAATAATATATGATTTTTCTGTATGGGAATGTTTCCAAGCACTGACTCAGAATGTTGGCAATTTCTGCAATTCAATTTTCACAAGGTAGGCAAAAATGGCTGCCACTGGTAGGATCTGACTGAAATTCCGTCAGATCCTTCATATTATCCTTGATATAGATTGAAATATCATATCAGCCCAAATCAAGGATTTAAAAAGTATCTGGCATGATAGCAGGTGTCCTCTACAAATTGGAACCATAGATCACTACAAACTTTTATATTTAATGACTGGAAATACAAAAAGAAAGGACCGTACACCAGCAGATTTTTGGCTGCGGAGGTTTCTGAAATCTCGTGTGTGTTCTGAGGAGCCCCATGCACAATTCCAGACCTTAATATGCCATTGTCAGGGAGGTGGTCAGCCTACCAAAGGATATGCGACATATTGCTGTCATATCTGTTATCCCTCGAATTCAATGCAAAGTGGATAATGGAGGAGCACACATTGAACACACTGATTTTCACAAGTGGGCCATTTGTTCACTTTTGTTGAGAACACATGACATGTATAGCATTGTTTTCCCCGTGGTCGTGTAGCGTTCGCATTAAATTTCACATTCTTGTGTATAACAATTTACAGGATCTGATGTGTTGAAGAAAGGAACTTTCTTTATAATCAATCAGTATGTCTCATTCAAAGTGAAATGAGATGAAAATGAAGAGTCTCTGAAGAAGGTGTTCAACCTTTGATTCTTGTCTCTCTAAATGTTTCCTCTATTCCGGGTGAAAATTTCAAAAAGGAAACTCACTTGAGGCTCCCCATCATCTGAGCAAGCCCGGAGGGAAAAACCCCTTTCTGAGATCACAGGAATCACGTGACCATGGTTCTTGCGTGCATCACATGCTGCATGCGGGAATACCACAGACGCATAGCCCGGCTGCTGCCTCACCAACTCCAGGTACTAACAACACAATGACAACCACCAAACTGAAATCACCCAAAGCTGCAGCTTCATAACAGTTGCTAGGTATTCTGAGACATAACTTTCACTTTTTAGGTAGTGAATCCATGAAATGCATTAGGTGTTAGGTGACAATGCCCCTTTCATGCATAGCTTTCTGGAGAGGTTAGACGTATTCATGGACAAAACAAAAAAGAAGAGAGAATATATTCGATAGCGATAGGTACTGAGGGAGCAAATTGACATGTTCCTGCTAATATTTTTCTCTTTTCAAATGAAAAGAAAAAGCCTTCAAACTCATCAATGAGTGCTAGAACTCAACTCAGGATGTTCAAAACAACCAAAAATGACATTTAAGGTCCTAACCCAAAACTTCATTTCTTTCTGTTCATCACTGCCTATAACACTTTCACATTTCATTCCTTTTATTTTTTGGCCATTACTTGCTAGCAAAATTGATGTATGCAATTCCCTTTAAATGTTTCCAGTGCATCCACTGTCCATTTCAACAAGAAGTCAACAGCTCGTTAGTTTGTTCCATTATTTTGTCATATCCTTAAGGAGGAAATAAATTTCTCCAATCCCACTCTGGCGAACTTCACAAAGCTCTATTTTAAAGGGGTAAGATATCAGTTTAATGCTACAAATGACCAGAGGTCCAACTTAAATTTCAAAATAAGCTTACAAGGAAAATGTCAACATCATTGCACTTCATTTCACATTTACTGAGCCTTCCTATGAAAGGAGACTCACATCATGTTTTCTTGATGGGTCCTGAAGTGCCTTCAATTTATACAGTTGATTCCCAGCATCGATGTTCCCTCGATTCACCTCCTCCACTGCCTACAGATGCCAAAATGAAAACAGGCCCATGGACTTTAGACCTAGATGAAATCAGCTTTGAGAATGACATTCATCAAATGGGTTTCATAACAAAAACCTCTTTATTTTATAACTGTTACAGGAAAAGCATGTCCTTCCCTGTCTACTGGAAATACATGGACAGGAACAGCTCCTCTTTAACACATTCAGACCCAGATGGAAATTCACCAGACTGCCCCTGCAGCCTGGCCATTTTTTTCCCAAGTGTTGCAATTTTGCACTCTAATATTTAAAAATTAATATTTCAGAAAATATAAGAATAATCATGCTCAAATTTGCACAGGGTGTAGCTAGTATTCTCTAGCTGTCTCTAGTATTCCTGCAGTGTGTGGTACCTATTGAGACACCCTCCCTTATGTAAGGGAGATTCCCTCACCAGGTATTTACAGGAATATTTATACTATCATCACTGTCACTTGCCCTGTCACACTGTTGTGATGTGCTAGCAGAAGGCTGAGTTGTGGCAGAAGTTTCACATTTTTTTGCGACAGGTTCAGGCTCACTATCACTCTCATTATTAACACAAACATCACTGTCACTGAATTCATTGTCAATATCATAAACAGAATCACTGTCTGCAAGAATTTCATTAATTTCTTCCTCATCATACAAGGTACACAATGGTGCTATATCAAGGGTTGACTGTATACATGCTTTAAAAAAAAAAGTATATACAGTAAAAACTCATTAACTTTTTGGGACAGGGCAAATTGTTTTTGAGTTATCTGAAGTTCAAGTCAGGAATTGCCTCTACCCCAAAAAAAAAGAAGAAAAAAATTTACTCACGTTAAAAGATATAGTAGGACGATTTTTCTGTCCTCAAGAATCGGATTTGAAGGAGCAACAACCTCATTATAATTGGCTTTTATTCATGTCTAGGGAAACTTTGATACTTCATATGCAAAATTCATTTATCACACACAATGCCCTTCATCTGGTACTCTGGAAATTAAATATGACTGGAATGGCTGGAAGTGAGAGCAATGGGCTGACAGGGAAAGTGCTAGAGGTTGCTTCTTATTATTGCAGAAGTTTTTCGGTTTTAGTCCTCAGGTTTAATCCTTTCCACAGGCATCTGTGAGGGAAGAGGGGGGGGGGGAAAAAGAAACAAAAGGATTCTCTCTCAAACAGGTTTCTTGCCTTTCACCTATTTAATAAATTGATAGGTCCCACAATAATTTTTCCCCCTTTACACCCCAATTAAGATTATCTCATGGTTTATTCAAATTGCAAAATTGAGATAACCTAGAGAAAATCGTAATCAGGAGAGAAAATGTATTTTGTGATATCCAGAAGTTCTAGATATGCTAATTCAAGTTAAACTGAATATTTAATACGTTGTTTAACATGATTTGGTTGGGACCGAGCATGGAACTTAGACATAAGTGGAATTTTGAATTATCAGGATTTGAGTTAACGAGTATTTACAGTACTAAATAATTGAGAGAGGTACAATGTCTAGCGTATGGAGAAGCAATGGTTTGCATTACAATTCACTACCGCAGACGTTCAAATTGTTCACCGCAAACATCCAGGCACTGTTGACAGCTGTGAACAACAGAGCGACAAACTTGCACACAGGTTTCTGCTGGGATAGCAGCACAGGACTCGTTTAAAGCCTGAGTTCTCGAAGTGTAGCTGGTTTCTTACTGTACACCATATCCTTCACGTTACCCCTCAGGTAGAAGTCTGGGGGTGTTAAATTAGGAGAACAGGTGGGTGGTATTTAACTCATTGAAACTGTAAGTCATATTGGTGGCTCATTAGTAAATTCACTTCTCCAACTTCTTTGCACCTCACACAAGTTCTCAGATCTCCAGTACTATTTCAAAATCAACTTATGTTGCTCTAAGTTCAAGCGAGCTTGTGCCATCTTGTGTTACACACTGCTTCATGGGTAACAGTTGCCTGACAATGCATGATCATTCCATTACACAGTAATGCCATCTGGTAGGTACATGTCACACTAAACATCATCCCTCTCTGAATTACTTACATATATACGAGGGATGGTCCAAAATTATTCGGACTTTTACAAACGGAATAAAGACAGGTAAAAAATTTTATTTTTCTCTGAAAGGGCATTCATCCAACATTTCTCTACATAATTGCCACCAACATCAATGCATTTTTTCATCTGCTGCATCTATTTTTGAAAATATTCCTGAAAATCATTTTTGAGTTCCTGCAGCTCCCTTTTCACGTCTCTGATGACTCCTTCACAATTTTCAAATGGTCCTTTCTTGTGCAAATTCTTCTTGGTCCTTGAAAATAGCCAAAAATCACTGGGGGCCAAATCTGGAGAATAGGATGGCACATCCAGGATGAGATTGATGTGAGAGGCACCAATGAACAGCAGTGGTCTTTGCCACCTTGTGTGCCAGTGCATTGTTGTGTTGCATGAAGTGCTGAGAAAGCTTTGACTTCAGATAACCTCTGGTGAGGTTTTCGAAAATCTCTGGCAAGCATTTTGATGTGTACCAGTCAGATGTTACTGTTGTTTCAAGTGAGACTGCAGCAACAAATCCAGCATGCGAGAGAAAAAACGTAAACCACAAAAAAACCTCATCAGAGGTCATCCAAAGTCAAAGTTTTCTCAGCACTTCATGCAACACAACAATGCGCTGGCACACAAGGCGGCAAAGACACTGCTGTTCATTGGTGCCTCTCACATCAATCTCATCCTGGATGTGTTCCTATTCCCTCTTCTCCCATCCCTATTCTCCAGAGCTGGCCCCCAGTGATTTTTGGTTATTTCCAAGGATCAAGAATTTGCACAAGAAAGGACCATTTGAAAATCATGAAGAAGTCATCAGAGAAGTGAAAAGGGAGCTGCAGGGACTCAAAAATGAAGATTTTGAGGAATGTTTTCAAAAATGGTTGCAGCAGATGAAAAAATGCATCAATGTTGGCAGCAATTATGTAAAGAAATATTGATAAATGCCCTTTCAGAGAAAAACTTTTTCTTGGCCTATCTTTATTCCTTCTGTAAAAGTCCGAAAAATTTTGGACCATCCCTCATATTTCATTTATTAAAGCGTGTACATATTTTTTTGAGACACCCTGTATATTTGAGGCCAATTATGGATAGGCAATGCAATATTTGATACTACCACACAGCACATAAGCTGCATTCAAGTGTGATGTACCAAAAATGGGTGTAATCCAGAAACTTTTTAGAAGCAGCACTCTTTGGTTATTCATCTTTGGGTTGTAACAGTAACATGAGTCATGAGTAAATTTTCATATTTATTTTTTCCAAAGATATATTGTAATGCATAGACATCGTAAGACATATCCTGTACATGGGCCATGAAATGAAGTTAAATGATAAGATTTTTCTTCAAATGAAGCAGATATTTGTTTCTGAAATTTGACTCCAAGAGATAGTGTTCTTTTAAGTGTAACATGAGTCATGAGAACCCCAACTATTTCTTTTTCTCTCAGAAGTGCTGTAAGGAAATGGAATTACTATGATCAGCAAAAGGTCAATGCCTATAATCTCCTTTCCTTTTGTCAAGTTCCTCTTATGGAAATAATGGAAGCATAATGCAATTGCCAAATTGTTTTTAAAAATGTAAAATAAGTAATAAAAGAATGACCCCAATGCAAATTAAACAATGACAGATACTCCCACCTATGGTCACTAGAGAATTTGATATTTGAAGTGAACATATAGAGGGCATTGGAGAGTTGCAGGGCATATCATCTCCGATTTTATTCTTATAATTGTGCTGTCGGCATATATGGATATGATGTTCTACTGAAGGTTATGGAGAACTGGGCTGTAATATGGATATTTTTAATGACCAAAAATGTGGGCATGATGAAAAAAAAAAGGCTAAATTGGGAAGATTTGCACTGAAAATAAATTAATTAATAAGCGCTGCAACAGAGGAAGTTTGTGTAAACAGTTTTGGAAAAGAAGAGCACCCCTCAGATTCAATGCATTATAGCATGATCAGATAGAGCCCTTGTTCAGTGGATCAACTCCTTGCAGCTACATAGCTGCATTGTCTATACCCTCCACTGAGTATCAAGGAAGGGATGGGTTATTGATCAGTCAATTGACTGGTTAATATTGTCAACTAAGGTCAATAAGGCCGACTTTTACTTTATTTTTTACTGCACAGTTTCTGCTTTATTTGTATGTCATGACTCACAAATGAAAGACTAGACATGAGAAATTGACAGGTAAACATGGTCAATTATGACCATTTATGGACAATAATGGTCAACGAGCCCAACAAAAGGTTAGGCCTTATAACTGTATATGATCATAAATGACCGTGTTAACCAAGTCAACATCTCATCGCTAAGATAAGCTTTACCATACAGATTGCATGAGTTGGAATATTAAGCAATTATCAGTCATGTTTCAGAGATAAATTCTGTGACTAGTTAGCTCCATAAGTACTCTGAATGATAAGGAATGCAACACAGTGTCAAGAACTGGAGTTTCGTGGTTTCTGGTATATGTATTTATTCCTGTTCCTGTCAAAAAAAAAAAAACCTCTGCCTTGCTCAAGGAAGTTCTTCACAGCTAGATTACTTTTTTTAGGCATAGACCTACAGTTCAGATGTTTGGCAGGGTGCATGAACATAACTTTAAATGGAACTGGCTCTTTGGTTTTAGTGCTTTAATGACTGCAGTTATGAGCTCAACAAAAAAGTATTATTTCATTGAATAAAAAAAGGAGCAGTCAATAACAGTCAATTAAAAGGTGGTCAACTGACCAGTCAAAAAACATGAGGTTAGACTGTGGCATGTACAGTCAGATATAATATGTTCAGTTTTGCCTTCTACCAGTAATGTGCTCTCATCCCTAGAACTAAAGGATTTCTTTAGATCCTACCAGAATATTTTTACTGATTAGAACTAGACATAGAGTTAGAAGGAGCTTACAAGATGATAGAAGAAGGTTGCTGCCAGGTCTGACTCAGAAGAGATGTGGAGTTCAGTATTGACAGAGAAGAGCCAGCGCCTCAGGGCAATGCATGTTGCTGTTGCAGTGCTATAATTCTGAATGTATAAGCTGTGTGGGCATTCACGGGGTCCCAGCTTCCTCTCTGTAGCAGCAAAGCAAAAAGTCAAATTTTAAAACACTCCCATTGGACATCCCCTTTGAAGAGTTGGAAGAGGAAACAACTAACCAAAATTGTATTCAAGAAGCTCAAATAATGCAAAATAGGGAGCAACAGTGTGGGGCAAGGAGATCTTGTCAGCCAAACTTGTGAAAAGCTCCTCTGTGGTGGCACTGCGACGACATGAGATGGACACTACATCATTTGTAGGGAGAAGCACCTTGATGTCCACATTTACGCAGTGACTCTGTAAGAAATGTTCAATCACATCTCACTTTCGAGCCAGCAATGCTATACCATAAAATAATTCCCTAAAGGGCTATACCTTAAAATATTAGTTCCAAAAATCATATCACAGAACCCATCATTCCTCAACATGCATTATGGAAAAGTTTCCCAATGTGAGTGAAATGTGCTGTAATCCAAACATAGAATCACGAAGAGCATGGACTTTATCTCATCTATTCACATATGCCTAGATTTACATTAAAACAATAAAGGCAAACCTTTGGGGGAAAAAGTATTACTTAATCCCCAGGGGTTATAGGCATTATATTATTTCATGGAATATTTGTTGTTTTCCAAGGCCTTCAATGCTTTAACTTATTCTCAAGGGCAATGAAATCAAAATAATGAATAAAAATTGATTCACAATTCAAGTCAAACCCAATGTCTCCATGGCAATTATAAAACTTTAAAGTAATTTTTATTGAATTTCATATGCCATCAAATGATGGCAAGAGATCAATGGTAAATCATTCAGTAATGAAAATAACAGGCTATTTAAACCCTTTGCAGCAAAGTTCCATCACAATCCACTTTAACAAGTACCAAAATCCCACCTTCACCATTCACTGTACTATGTTCCCAATAAAGAACATACTTTTTAAATATTCAATGTTAAAGAATGAGGGAATGAAGAGAAAGTTTGCTCAACACACAAGGAATGGAAATAGGACAGTGTCATTGATTATATCAATTATCTTAATCCCCTTTGCCATTGTGTCATCAAGTGTCTAACTGTAGAGCAGTACTGAGATAAATCCACTGAAGGCAATTTCAACAAATTGTTTGAGTGCATCAATGATATAGCTATATTGGGATGCCTAGAAAGTTTCAACTTGATGTATGAAGCTGACTTCCTATCTTGAAAGGATACAGAAGTCGGACATCCAAAGGCTCAACATAACTGCAAGCCATGAGGCTGAAACCATAATACTGGTTGAAGAATCCTTAAAAAATTATGCCAAGATGTCTTGCTTTCACCCCTCACCTCAAAGCCTATAAAGAGGATCAACTCTGATGAGTCACTTTCATGGGCTTATATTGATGATCAGAAGAGGTGGAGGAGTCTTGATGGCTGCTGAGTAAAATGTAAGTTCCTTTTAATCATGACTTGAAGCAATATTTGAAGATTTTCCACTTGCACTGGAGCAAGAAATGGATATATAAGCATAGGATAGCAGATATAGCAGAACCTATTACATGGTAAGTACCTGTAATGTGGCAGTAGCATAAATAAGGCAAAAGATAACTTCACATAGATATGACCACCCAATTCTGTTTCACTTTGCAGCCATCCCACCCTTGATGAATACAGTAAGATTGGGTAAGTATACCCATGAAAATATCACAATGGAAAGATGCATGATAATGCATGCATTCATATCAGGAAATGCATATAACACCATAGGGTAAAACCATCTAAGTTCAGACACTGCTGCAAACATTGTAACAAAACTAAGCATTAGCAGAAATGGTTCTTCTTAACATGAGACGAACACATTACTGAGCGAAGGAAAAGCGGTAGTCATCATGACTGCACGATTCCAAGATATTGGGTTTAGGCTTATGCTATATTGCAAACAGGAGAAATTCTTCAAGAAACCATAAGGAGAGAACCTTCCTTTTAAAACATTCTACATTAGACTTTTTTGTTTTGTGTGCTTAATTCTTACTTCCCAGGAAACTAGGAGGACATGGAGTCCTGTTACACAGAATGCACATGCATTGATCAGATTATTGTCTTACTTTCAGTGGGTCCGAACTTAGGTCAAGAAATGTTTGAGAAACTAAAGTTCAGACATACATTTGTTTGTGTCATATCTGCAGAAATATGATGCTCTCAAGATAAAGAACATTTTGAGCTGACAAAAGCTCAGTTGAGTCATGCTTTTCAGAAAACATGTATTTTTGAGCTCTGTCCAAACTTTCATAATGGGACATATAACTTCGGACACCATCGAGCACATGTGAAAAAATACAGCTTCATATATTTCTTCACACACCAAAGTGTGCAATGTGCCTCCGAAGAAGTGATAGGAGGTTGGAATGCAAGGGATTATCGATCTGAAGGTGTTGAAAAGGCTATCAGGCCTTTAATTAAGATGAGATGTCCTTGCAGAAGGCCAACATTGCTTACGATGAACACATCTGCTGAATACATTTTCTTCTAGGAGGCGCACCTCCGAATTTGGAGTGGGGATTTGTCCCTGAAGTAGGATGTTTTCTGAATCAAGCATGCAGAGAAATACTTGTCAACTGAATATAACAAACTGTGCCAGTCCATTCTGCTTAAAATAATTTCTAATTACATGACCCTAATGTGCACCCAAGAGATTATCCACAAGAGTAGGATTTTTCCAGAAATTAACGACTGGAGAGCAACCTACATACGGAATTCCAAGTTTCTATATCCTTCACCGCCCGATTCAATGTAGCAAAACATATATAAAATTATGCCTCCCCCCAAATATACCCCCAGAAAGATATCTCCCAGAAGCAGGATTTCCCCTTATGACTGCATACCAACATGTACCTAATTAGTAAAGTATCAGTCTTTCATCTCCCTGATCCCCTGGAATAAATCCTAAAAGTAGCTCTTCACCACTTGAAATCTGCACCTCGATTGGTACCGAAGCACCAAGTTTCAGCTTCTATGGCTTGTTATTTCAAAGAAAATTACAGTTTGGTTCGTTACACTTAACCTGGACCACCCTGTGTATATATATATATATATCCAGGATTCAATGGTTTTCTGCCCTCTTCTCCTGGGCTAGAGGCTGGGCATTTCCTGCCTGTTGCCGTGGGGTGGCTTTGGCTGGGAGGAACATTACAGTCTTCTTCTATTCAATCTATAGGCACACCTTGAATGAGTGCAGTTTCACTGCCCATTCGGGTAATTGCTCATTTGGCCAACTACTTGTTATATCTACGTTCTTTACTCATATATATATATATATATTTAAGGCGTTGGTCTTTCTTTTTGCATATACAATTCAATCTTTGATTTTATAAAATGCTGAGGAAAGCACTCACATTCAAGTAATCATCAGTTGCAGCGGAGATGTCCTCCACGCCAAATCCATGGGGTCCATCCAGATTGCCTGCGGATTGTCCTGCAGTACCCTGCGGAGGTAGAGACCTCTTTCCCTGGAAAGCAAGCGTACACTTTGGTTAGAATGGGTCGGATGATAGGTTTCATGTATGGGTTGCATAGGACTTGCCCTTTGTGAAGTCAGATTATTCGCATTACTTGCATTCGGTGCGGTGGTCACGAGGTCAGCGGTTGTGCTACTTTGGGCCGAGCTGGACTGGAGACTTCCTGGATCATTATTTTTACATTTAGACTCTAGTGAGATGGTCAGAAATTATTTTCGGCAAAAATATCAAACAATATGTCCGTACCAATAAAATATGACATGAGGATATCAAAGGCCCTGCTCCCATTCCTGGCCTTTAACTCTACCGGTGCCACATACAATAGGCTCTTCAGAAATGAGTCCAATCTGGATGGCGGGTTCGTTCCGGACATTAATTTGAGAAGGGACATATTCTTCACATATGTGTAGCCTTGATCCACGATAGTAAGTGCCAGCTCCGTTGTGTTCCTCACCTCTTGTAAATATCTGTAACGCCGAAACGCCAGACTCTTGACATATTTGTTATATATAATTTTGGGGAATATGGCCATACAAAATGAAATCTGGTCATAACGGCCCATCAAGATCGAATTTGACTTTTACAATGTTTCTAAAATACTGAATCATACATCCTTTACTACATCCCAGTAAGGTACATGCAAAAAACCGCATGGATATTGCGCCTTTGGATTTTTTCCTACTTGGTTCCAAGAGGCCATATTACCCGTATTGTTGGGGGAATATGGCCACTTCTCAATAAGCAACTCAAGGTTTTCCATGTACGTGTGAGATATGCTGGAATATGCCGAGTACCTTGAAACATAATAAGGGAGGCTCAGCAGTTGAAAAAGACCTGCCTTGAGGACTAGCAAAGAAGGCGAAATTATTATCCGACTCATGGACCTGGTGCAAAAAGCAGGATTGCGATGCTTTTGACTTTGAGTAGCATTGGACATGATTGGGAGCCTTTATCTAGAGACTGTGGGGTGAGAGGAGTGATCAATCATAAATTAAAGTGAACATGCACTACGAGTGTAAAATAATTGGTCTCACATTGCAGGAAAACGCTGCGTAGTTTTTGCACGTCTGGATAAATAGTGCCAAAAAAATCACAGGAAGCACTTTTAACTTCTTGTACGAGGGATATTTACTTGCATTCAAATGTCGTGCCACGAAAGTTTCTGGAGTATGTCAGGCGAAGCGGATGTCCAGGAGGCGGAGCATGAGCATATCTTCATGCAAGTCCTCCTCATGTACTCCATATTTCGTCCAGATGTGCCGTACGTTTATCCATATATCCAGAAGAAGTGCATTGGATGATCTTTTGCAGCCTGAGGTCCCACATGAAAGGAAGCTTCCAATAGCAATAGGTCAGTGCAGCGCTAACATGAAATGAAGGATGTGTCCATATTACCCCAAATCGAGATGGCCATATTCCCCCATATTGACTTTCATGACAAAATTGACAACACTGTCTGAAAACCGCAAGTGAAGGGGCTAGCACTTTGCACAAGCATTCCGGAGGGACCATGGAAGAACTTTAAAGAAATGGTTTCTGCATCCATGCTGCCATTAGGAATATAAGTTGAAGCTGCTCAAGGTTCATATTAGTTTCAAGGTCGAGAGACAAAGAATCACATGCATATGACTTTCAAGACATCGATGAATCCCGAAATCCTTTGAGGATTACCCCAATTATTACCCCAATGGCCATATTCCCCCAAGTTACCCTATAGGTATACACAGTACATCTTTTCTGCACTTCAACCGCTCTCGACATTTGCTGTCAGAACACTGAACCAATCAAAATATATTTTGTCGCATTCCCAAACAGAAAATCCGTGGCATACTTGTCTTGATATTTTCTTCTTCAAGACAAAGTATGCCACTGATTTTATTTTTTCCGTGTCTCCTTTCTTTCGAAGTAAGGGGGCACATTTAGTCTCGTCTTTGTGTTTGACACCCACATCGATGTTATCTGGCAAAAAGCCTTAGTCTGATCGATGTGAATGTTGGTATAGAGTTAGAGATGGACAAGACAAAGAGGATGTTCGCTTCCGGCAAAATTCAGAGCAAAATCATTTTTATGTTTCATATTGATATTCTAAAATTAGTTCACATCGGGAAAGGCGTAGGCAACTGTCAGTGTCTCAGAATCCAACCAGAGTTATCACTTTCTTTCCTACCTACCTAGCCTACGGATCAATACATCATCAGAACATGAAAACACAGATATGACAATTCATGAAATACCGATGCAGTGCTTCATGGAAGGAACACGACTGGACTTAGGATGCCCAGTTCACCTTTTGTAACATGCTCCCCAAACACTAATGACCGTTATCATATTCTACTCCATGTACGTTTAAATGATGTCAGATACCCGTCGAGCGCTGTCTTGAGCTTCTCTCGATCCAAGTTCGGCGAGAGGAGCCAAATGACGGGGGTGAGCATGAAGGCTTCAACCTTGCACCCAGATACGTCCCATAACTCAGGAAGCAAATCTCGAAGCTGGCCCAGCTTGAAGCAGACGATAGGATTGGAGTTGCAGACGGTGACGGCCGGGAAGGTCATTTTTCGTGCGTGGCTCATGGATACGTATGTGATGACAGGGTAGGAAAGGTAATCTGCCACAACTTGGTACACTGAGTACACCGTCAGAGCCGTCCCGACAAGGAACACCGCTATCCAAATCTAAGACAAAAGGGAAAAAGTACAAAATTTCTCGTCGTGTGGCTGCGTCATGAGAGTGTCTCAAGACGCATCTGCCAGCCATCGTAGGTGAGTAGGAAAAAAAGAGAAAATTCAAAGCTTTATGACTGATTAAATTTGGAATTAATATTTCCAAAAGTGCAATGTTGCTCCGAATGAGGCCTGGATGTTCGGAACCATTTGTGTTCGCGGGTGTATTCTGTCATAAAAATCACATTTGTTGCCACGCGACCAATCCAGGAAGTCGGTGCAACATAATGAAACAGACTCAAGCATTTGTTGCTTACGAATTCAAAGATTCTTTGTCGCTGTTTAAATCTCATATCCTCACGAATGATTACAGGGTAACTGGGAGAAATATGGGGAGTTATTCATATTCCTACATACTATTCCTAATGAGAGAGACAACCGAAAAATCTTGGACAAGGTTAGGTGACAAGGTTGCCCTATTAATGGTGCCTCTTCTGTCACAGGAACGGTTTCGTGCTCCGAGATGTGTTGGTGTTAATACTCGTATTTAAAACGGAAAGGTCGTCCATTTTTTGTTATATTTTGGGCAAATTGCTACATAGGTCGTTTCTTTCATCGTCTAAGCCCTAACGTAAGGTGGAAGGATTCATGCAATCATATTTTTCATATCTGAAACTGGAATTTTTTCCCATACCATTCTCAATGAATTATGTTGCAATTGTGATATTAAGGCTTCTCCAATCGTCAAACGTTTCGCATCTCCACTCTTAACCCAGTCGACATTTTCCATACTCTCTTTCGCTGCCCTCTACCTACCTACCGCGGGCCTCTACCTCGCATTCTCCCCACCCCAATAAAGATTTTCAATCATTTTAGTAAATGCATAAATATCGACTTGACAGTTTTCATTGAGACCTAATTTTCCCTATTTTTTTAAGAACAGAATCTGAATTCCTACGAATTATTTTCATTTCCAGCAATTTTAGTCAAATGAACCATTTACAGAGAAGTTTTCTTCGCTTGACGAAAAATGCTTGAAAGGGGAATTCTGCTGCCAATATCAGATATCATAGTTTAAAAGCACTCGAAGGATCTAGTTCAGGCACAGACGCGATTGATAGAGTTTATAAAGTCGAGAAGCCTATTCACCTAGCCTTTCTCTGCTCTGCTCGGTGGTCCCTTTCACTTCAGAAATATTTTTATTTTAAGGGAAAAAAAAGAAACCTGTTTTCCTTTTAGCACATAAATTGAGCAATGCTAAACTCTGTTTTAACAAGTGGCTGCCTTTAAACATCTTCACTCACCTTCATCGAGAAAATGTTGTGCATATATGAAGCATGAACAATGTGTAGCAAATCCCGATTGCATTGGCATCGGGCAATTCTGCGGTTAAAGTGCTCCATTAAGGTCACGAGAAAAATAATCGCGGTAATTGAAACTAGTATCAACTTATAATTCAGATTTATTTCATTACATTTTCAGAAAAAAAAGAAAATTTCCAATTTTCGAATTTAATGATGAATTCTGAAATATCTAATATTTACCATATCTACCCCAGAATCTGAGCTCCCCAGTCCAACTGTAAAAATTATTTACTAATAATTCTTCTATCAGAAAGAAAGGTACTTGCGACAATATAAAAACGGTCAAGTATGGATTTATCATTTCAATAAAACAACTGGCATGAGCCTCGCCCTCGAGTCAATTGTCAGTTGTAGGACTTATCTAAAGGAATCGTTTACCTGCAGCGAAGCCTTTGAGCCGGAAGCGGGTTCTTTCCCCCTTCCCCTTCCATTTCTAAGACCCTTCAACGTATCTCCTGATGCGTCATTCCACGTAGAACACGAAACGTAGAACCCAAAGGTATCTTGCGCGAAATGCAGCACTCACCACTTTGAGAAGAGGATTTTTGTGTCGCCTGGAATTGGTGAGTCCCGGAATGGAGGTGGAGAGCCAGAAATTTTGGAAACTCCCCTTGATTGTTCTCCACAGGGACTTCCTTGGCCTGTACCCTCTCAAGGGGAAATTTCCACCGTAACCATACATCATTGAATTATCCTTCGGACTCACCCGTAACTCTATCCGGAGAGTAGAGCCATGTGTACGAAGTGGAGAGCATCCAAGGGGGAATGTCCACTGCTCCTTGGACGAATCCCATCTGGCAGGGCGAGGGAACCATCAAAGCGAATAGGATATGAGAACTGGATAATGTTCGAGGTAATTGGGATATGTCCTCGGAGGGATCCCTTTACCATATTATTGCCACGCCTAAAAACAGTCTTGCACACAGCCATGCAAGCGTTCCGTTCCTTCGTGTAAGTACACAAAGATTCAGATAAATATTTCATGCACGATAAATACTTGCATTGGAAAAGATGGAGAAACTAATAGTCGTGTTCTTGTATAGCGATGTCGAGGCCTCGTTAGCCTTTGCTACTGAGACGTCTCCCCACCCGAAGCGCAAACTGTGGAGGTCAATACCTTGTTATATTCCCATGAGGATGCTCATATGCATACAGGATACATTCGTCTTCTACGTCACACAAGAAGTGACCTTATTACGGCCAGAAAAGTCAATTAAGTGGCAATTAGCAAGCAACTGGTCAAACGAGAGTTTCTTTGTCTTGTCTTGTTAGAATCGTATAACTTCTTGTTACGTGCTTAATATCAGTAAGTTTTTTTTTAGAGATTCAGAAATATTTATTCGCTCGTTAATTTTATCCATATAGCGTTCCAGACTGAAGCAGGTGGAGGAACACGCTTCAGTGCCGCACAGCAGAAAGATTTTGGTCAAATATTTCTCGTGGACAGGAGGCGAAATTGGAGCCCTGCATCGGTCGTAGCTGGAGCGAAGAGTAAGTCTGGCTTGAGTCCTTCCCTTTTTCATGGACAAAACAAGAAGGGCCTTACTGGTCGAAAGGAAATGTGTACAGAGAATCCCGAGTATGATTAATGATTACAAACACCTAACGAGTGCAAAGAGGTGTTTAGATTGCCTTTCCTTTCGTCTTTTTATGTTATGCGGTAAGATACGGTGACGTATGAATAAGTTTTGAAGTAGTATGTGACAATTGAATTTTCAGCTGTATTGGAAAAGGCGTTGAAACCTGTTGCAGGAACTGAGAGACGCCTGAATGACGAAATTTGCATGGGGTTAGGTGTGGCTCAGCACTAAGCAGTGTAGTCCAAGAATTGGAAATTTCAACATCCAATTTTCATAGAAAAGCAGCCTTTGGATGCTCAGTTCGCTGCCGTTTCACCTCCGATATCTTCACGACGTTTCTGAAGGACTTCAGTTGAACGTTCAAGATACGTTTTCCTTAAGCGCATCCGCAATACTCGGTCGGGGCTGCGGGCCAGCCATCTGGCAGTGGCTCGAACAAAGGTTCGCTCAATCGAAGCGAGATGGCGCCAAAATCACTGCTCTAGCGAATCGAAACCTCATACAGCTGGAATTCGTCCCAGATAATTTTCACACAGTTCCCGATCTTCCCCCTCAGACATCACAAGGGAAGGCATTTGAATTATTCAACACATTCATCTCAGGAAATAACTCAGTCCAAGGAGCCTCAAGGAAACTCTAGCTCGAAGGAATGAGGGAAGATGGTTCAACTTGCAACCTGACTCTATGGGTTTCTCAACGACAGGGTATACGATAAATCATATCGTTCGCCTCTAAAGGGAACCATGCCTGGAACGTTTCTGACTTCTCAAGAGAAAATACAATGATGATTTTCCACAATGGTAGGTAGAACTCCCTAATTGGCTTGGGGATTCGGCTTCATAGGATCGTTGCCGAGATGTTAATTGCCTTTTATCTGATTGGAAAGAAAGTTCTCGGAATTTCATGAACAATTATTACAACCCAGTTTATTTAAAAGCAAAATCATCTCAATCATGAATGTAATCACCATTGGCCTCTATCACTTCACGCCAACGTTTATGCAATCTATGGATGCCATTCCAATAGAACTCTGTCGGCTGCGCTACGAAAAAGTTGGCCAAATCGGTTTTCAGGTCGTCTCGGTTGGCGTACTGCTTTCCACCCATGTGACGGTCCAGGGCAACGAAAAGGTGATGATCGGACGGGGCAAGGTCGGGGCTGTAGGGCGGATGCGGCAGCACCTCCCAGCACAGGTCCAGTAACTTTAGATGAGTCTGTCTAGCGGTGTGCGGCCGGGCATCGTCGTGGAGGAGGATGGTTCTCTGTCTTTCTGGGCGTGTTTCAGCCAGTTTCTGCTGCAGCCGATCGAGTTGCTGGCAGTAGTAGGCAGCAGTGATGGTGGTGTCTTTCGAATCCCAGAAGACCGAGAGCATAATCTTTTTGGGGTGCAACTCCCGACGGGGTTCTCTTTCGGCCGATGCTCCGGCGTCCACCCACTGACGTTTTCGTCGAATGTTGGCATAGAAGGTCCACTTTTCGTCGCCTGTCACCACTGAGTCTAGCCAATCCGTTCGGCGCGAACGTGACAGAAGGGAGATGGCCATGTCTACTCGTCGCTGGCGGTCCCGATCATCCAGCTTGTGGGGTACCCAGCACCCCAACTTTGCCTTCTTGCCAAGCTCAGCCAGATGATGAAGGATAGTTGTATGGGAGACACCCAGCAAGTCCGCAAGCTCTCGCGATGTTTGCCGGTTGTTGGCCTCCAGTGCCTCCTGCAAGGCAGAGTTATCAAACTCCGAAGGACGACCGGTGCGTGGCTGGTCTTCCAGGCTTTCATTTCCTTTCTGGAAGCGACTGTACCAATCATAGGCAGTGCTCTTGGACACAGTGTCCGGGCCAAACGCGGTATTGATGTCAGCGATGGAATCGGCTGCCTTCTTCTCGATTCGGAAGTCATAAAGAAGAAGCAGGCGAACTTGCTCCTTAGTAAGAGGGTAGGGCTGGTTCATGGCTGGAGAGCACCAGGGCTGTAATAATATACGGTTGTATGCCGAAGGACACGACCTACTTATAAACACACGCAGAACATTCTAGCATGCTCTGGAAAAAAATTGAAATTGGATATTCAAGAAATTCCGAGAACTTTCTTTCCAATCAGATAGAACCCCAAAGAAGTTCTTTGAACGTTTTGATGATGCTTGAGAACATTCAATTCAAGTTCTTTATAAATGGTCAGGGAACGCATAATTTGAATTCTTTCTAATGTTCCCGAAGACGTTCTTAGCACGTTGGCAGTACCGTAATTGGGACAGTTATGGACATTCATTGATAGGTTGATGAGTTTCACTTAAGAATTTTTGGAGAAGCTGAATTAATTGGTGAAGAATTTTTCAAAATAGAGTTTGCTGGTCCAGAACAATGTTGCAATACATGGTAAAACTCCCGCAAGAAAGGAATGTCTTATTCCACCGGATGCCATTTTGAAAATCTGATGGCTCTCTGCCATGAGATGAGACTTTCTCAGGGTCCATTTGCTCCAAGATCTCCTCTATGCCATTCGCTTCTATACTTGTATGATACGATGTCCTCGCGTCTATATTTATGCAACCTGAGGACATGAAACGCCTTGCTGCCGTTCCTAGTCTTGAACTCCACAGGTACCCCATACACGTACAATCGTCTCTTGAGAAATGAATCCAAGTTAGACGGTGGGTTTGTTCTAGACATGAAGGGCATGAGTCACGAATTCTCCCTATAAGTGTAGCCTTGATCCACTACTCGTATTCACCACCTCTTGTAAATGCCTGGATTATAGTGAGCCTGTCACAGGACAGGCCCACGTGAGAGATGTGAGGGAACATGACATTTGTTGAAAGTAATCAAAAGACGAAATAAAGATTTTGCTTCTGCACGCAAATGAAGAGGAATTCAGATATATAATTTTTGTCCATTACGATTGCTCGCAGTAGAAAAAAGATAATTATCAGATAACGATCAGATAATCATATATGCATGCCTCGCCAAGTTATGACCTCGCCAGCCTTCGCTGCAAAACCGCGACCCCGCCCAAGATGTAAACCATTACTCCGCTTAATTCCCACGTGGGTGATCCCATGCTTATATATCATCCTGGTCTTCCACGCCCTGAAAGAAAGGCTCCAATAATTTATAGCCGCCAAAAAAATAGATATTTTATAATGTGACAGCACTTAGCATGCAAGTTGCCAGTAACATTTGACACTACCTCAAACCTGTTAATTTCGGACTGCTTTTTAATTCCTCTTAATCACTTTCACCAAATCTGTAATAGAAAATGAGAATACCTTTTTCTTAATTGCAACAGCCACTGTCTATGGCAATCGTTTCGCAAAATTTAGCTTTTCAGCGAAATTTTGCATAATATCTGGAAAAATTCTGAGGAAAATG